CTGAGGGTTGCGATCCGTTGCTGGACACGGAAAAAGACAAAAGACAAAAAAAAAAATATATATATATATACTAAAAAAAAAAAAAAAATCACTATGGTTTTCTCAATAAATGCAGAAAAAGCATTTAGCTAAATTTAACATCATTTATGATTTTTTTAAAAAAGTTATCTGCAAACTAGGAATCTAAGGGAAATTACCCAGTCCAATAAAGGCTATGTAAGAAAATCCCACAGCTAATTTTATATTCAATGGTGAATGGTGTAAGTTAGAAACAAGGCAATGACGTCTGATTTCAACAGTTCCAGACAACACTGCTCTGGAGGTCCCAGTCAGTGGGATACAGCAAGAAAACGAGAGCAAAGGTGTATAGACTGGAAGGGAAAGCAGGAGTGCTGTTATTGACAGACATGACCATCTGTGGTGGAAAATCTCAAAGCAGGTGGTAAAAAGCTACTAGAACCACTAAGTTTGCTTAGCAAGGTTGCAAGATACAAGCCAAGATATTAAAAAATCGATTGTATGCACTATCAATGAACAACTGGAAATTTAAATTATAAAACTCAAAAAGATGTGCAATAATTGTAGGTTAAAAACTACAAAATATTTCTGAGAGAAATTTAATAAAGACCCAAATAAATGGAGTAATATACTATGCTCATGGATTCAGAGAATTCAGTACCATTAAGATGTCAGTTCTCCCCAAACTGATGTATAAATTCACCATAATCCCAATTAAAATTTCTGCAATGTTGACAAGACTTGGCAAACATATCCTAAAACTTATTTTTTAAAAAATATTACCTGTCATAGCTAAAAGTTTTGAAAAAAGAAAAATAAAGTTGGAAGACTCACACTATCTGATTTCATGGCTTATTATAAAGCTACAGAAATTAAAACAATGTGGTACTGGCATAAAGACAGGCATACAGAATGATGGAATAAAAGAGTCCAGAAACAGACCCATATGTATCTGGGCAACTTATTTTTGACAAAGGTTTCATGGTAATTCCATGGAGAAAGGTTAGTCTTTTCAACAAATGGTGCTGGTGAATCTCCACCTTCACCTCATACCATACACAAAAAGTTGACTCAAAATAGATTACAGACCAAAATGTAAGAGCTACAACTATAAAACTTCTAGGATAGAAATATTTGTGACCTTGGGTAAATATTTTTATATGGAATATAAAAAAGAGAAACCGTAGGATAAATTAGACTTCATTATAATTTAAAACTTCTGCTCTTCAGAAAATACCATTAATGACACTAATGAAATGGAAATACAAGCCGCAGCCTGAAAAAAATGGGTGTAACAAATTGTTGATAAAAGACTTCCATCTAGTCTTTGCTAAGAGCTCTTATGTCTCAGTAATAAGACATACAGTTTTAAAACAGGCAAAAAGACTTGAACAGATTTTTCACCAATGAAGATACATAAATGTCAAGTAAGCATATGAAAAGATGCTCGACACTATCCACTATTAGAGAGATGCAAATGAAAACCACAATTAGACACTAGTCCACACTAGAATGGCTACTATTTTAAAAAATCAACACTACTAAGTGTTGGCAAGAATTAAGAACACTTGGAAATCTCAAAGATTATGCAAGGTGGGGGGATGCAAAATGATACCAAAACTGGAAAACACTTTGGCAGCTTCTTGTAAAGTTAGATACACACCATTTGATCAATCGTCTCACAGTTAGGGATCTACTCATGATAAATACAAACACTGTGCAGAGAGAGGACTGACCATAAAAGAACCTGAAGAAATGGTGTGGATGGTAGAACTGCTTCATAATTGTGATGATGATTACTTGACCATATACAGTTTTCAAAATGCATCTAACTGTACAGTTAAAATTAATGGATTTTATTGTACATGCATTTTGGCTCAACAGATTTGATTCCAAAAAAAAGTTTCAAGGACAGAAATCAGACCAAGGGTGGTCAGAGGTTGACGGTGAGGGAAGAGAGGACGGATCGATCAATCAAAAGCATGCGAGGGCAGTTTTCAAGTTGATGCAAATGTTCTGTGACTTGATTGTGGGGTTCCCTGCAGGACTCTATCTCTTTAGCAAAACTTCCCAAACTGGACATTTTTAAAATCTGAATTGTAAACCTGACTTTAAAAAATCAATGAATAATAAGCAAACAAATATTGGAACACAACAGAGCAACATATTAAGGTTCCTACCATAAAATGCTTGTGACCCCAAAATTTTATAAGCAGCCATTTTACCAAAAGGCAGGAGAAAGATGTTCTCAGAAGTTCCAGGATTCAGGAAATACCAATCCAAGCACTTTTCCTGAATGAAATGCCTGGGTTCCTGTGACTAAATAAAGGAGCATATGTCAAAAGAAAGAAACACGGATCAGTAATGCAATTGTTGGTCTGCATGACAGAGTAAGTGTGGTAACGAGCGGGCCCACCGCAAGCACAGAAACTGCCTTTGTGCAGCAGAAAAAGGAGACTCCTCCCCAGTCCCTCCTTTTTGTCTGCAAAAAAAAAAAAAAAAAAAAAAAAA